CAGTCCTGAAAATATCTAGGGTAGTCAGGGATCCCCATAGCCCAATGTAGAAATCACACACTGTTATTATGAATCTGATGCGTGTTCAAACTATTTTGCATGGCAGAGTGACAAAATCGACTGGCGTAGGCTGGGATGTGTAGGATTGTCTTGCGTCATATCAACTCTGTGTAGTTTGCAAAGCTAAGTTGCAGTGTCAGCCCTTGGCCTTGGGCTTTCTTGGATAAGGAAAGACCAAAGAGAAGCCAAGTAACGTGCTGAGACTGGCCGAACTGTCCTTCCTTTACTTTCTAGTCCCAGCTCAGCCCCCCTCTTCCTGCCGTGTTGATTCTCACATCTTGATCTACTGAGCTTAAAATCATGAGAGGAATGAAGATGAGGAGGGAAGGCTGTGGTACACACATGGAAAACAGGTCAGAGAGAACAGACAAAAACATTTAACACCATTTTACAGCTTACAAATTGACTTCACTTACATTATCTCATACAATTATCTGTCTTATAGATAAGAAAACTGAGCCCTAGAGATATGAAATGATTTATTTTTCCAGAACTGCAGAGTTAGTAAATGTCAGAACTGGGTCTTGAATCCAGATCTTCTGGCTGCATATCCATTGTTCTTTATACAAAAGGCTAAGGCATCAACCAGCACTCATTAATATATTAGAAGTGTTTTTTCTTTTAAATATACCACTTACATTGCTAGAGTTGTACTTATGGGTTTTTCTAAGAAGATTAGTGCTATATAAATATTAACTACTATCATTATTCCTATTATTATTGCCACTCAAATCATGGGCTCCAAAGGGGAATTCATTTTATTCAGTTCAATAGGTACCTAGTATCTTTGGTAGGTAAAATATTGTCTACATCCTCAGGAAGCAGAGAAAGCAATTACATAAACATACAGGTAAAATGTCATGTGATGGATTTTGTAATGGACATATGCCTAGGATAAGGTAATAGTATAGAGCAGCGTTTCTTGAACTTCATTATACATCAGAGTTACCTGGATCATTTGTAAAAACAGATTGCTGGGCCATGCCCTCAGAGTTTCTGGAATGGGGCCCAAGAATGCGAATTCCTAATAAGTTCCTAGATGTTATTGATACCCCTGGTCAGGAGAGGACACTTTGAAAGCTGGCATTACTTCCATCTGGAGAGTCAGAGAAGATACTGTAGAAGTGATAACCAGGCAAAGCTTTAAGAATTAAAAAGCAGTCTCCTAGTGAAATGAGTGAAATGGCATTCCAGATAGATGGTATAGACAGGTAAAACAGTAGATAGGAGATCCACAAGAAATTTGGTATTACCACAAGCAAAGAGAAGTGGACAGTGGTAAGAGATGAGTCAGAGCTCATGGAGGGTTTCATGTGACGTGCTAAGGCACATGGTCTTTGCCCTAGGCTGTGCAGAGCCACCAGAGGATTTCAAACAGAGAAGCACCTTAGTCAAATTTGCATTTTAGAAAGCTAGTTAATTCTAGTGCAAGTATGGAACCATGGGGGAAATCCCCACTTACTACCTAAATATGAAAGAACTCCTTTGAACATAATACTGTGTTCATAATACTATGCCAAGGGATTAATCAAATGTGTGCATCTTGGTATTTCAGTCAAACAGTTAAGAAGTCACTGCCTGCCATGTGTATATACAAGTCAAAGATATCCTCCTTTCCCTTGGGCATTTGGGAGAGCCAACACTAACACAGAGAAAGCAACAGAGCACATGGCTAGGCAGTGCTTTACCAAGGGCAGAATAGAGAAGGGTAAGTAAGGGCTGAAGCGGTCAGCCAGGATTTCATGGAGAAGACAGAACACAAGCTGACCTTGAAGAATGGTGGCATTTGCCTGACCAGACGAAGGCATTGCAGGCAAGGAAGACCCCAGAGTAAAGGATCAGAAGGAGAACTAAACTTTGAATGCACAGTGACATTGAAGAAGCAGAGGCAACTGGTCAACCTTTGGCAAGGGGCTCTTCTTGAGACTTGATGGGGGAATGGAAAAGAGGCTTGGATCAGAAAGACAGCTTCCATAGGGAATAACCTCTGGAAGATTTTTAGAAAAAGGATAAATGAGAGCAACATAGAGATAGGAAATACAATGCTTTCTCAACCAACTGTAAGCACCCTCTCCTCTCTTATCACCCAAGGATAATATGAATCAAAGGAACAGAATATAAAGGCTTGGGTTGAGGTCAAGAAATGGGGAAGATACATTGGGCTTTGGTTCTGATAGGGCCAAAAAGACAGTAGTTGCTGCCCTGGGAGCTGGCTATTGTCCTGAGAAGGAGGTGCATTGGCAATTTGACAGCTGCTTATAAAAGGCCATCTGCCCTGTGAACTGGGATGAAGGCCTGGGAAGCGTTCCCTTTCAGCTCCCAGATGGTAACAAATGTGCTAGTGCAAGGAAGATTCTTGGGTCATTTGCTTGTTCCCAGCTTTGCAAACATGAAAATGTTTTTGCATGTTCGTTTTGTGAATTGTATGTTTCCTCTGCATCTCTTCACACCTCAACTTAACCATCTTTATAGCATTCCCTTAAGCTTTATCTTCTATCCAAAGAGCAATGTGTGTGCTTACTGAAACAAATCCACAAATTGATTTTTCTTATGTCTTTATAAAGAATGGGGGATTTGTTCACAGTGTAGATTGGAGTCATTGCAGAACTGGAGAATTTGACATTCTGTATACCCTTACAATTACCCAAAACTTCGATTTTCTGGCCAACACATCATTCTTTTCTTAGATTGCTATACTTTTTATTTCCATTACCAGGGACAGCATGTGACTTTTCCTTCACAGTCATTATTCTCAAAGAATTAAGGTATATGCTTTCACAAAAGTGACTTCCTCTATGACCATGGGTGGAGAGGCAAAGCCACCATGTGTGATGTAGGTTGAGGCGGTGGGTGGGGCTCAGCTAGGCTAGTCTCTGCCTGTGGCTCAGTCCCCACACCAACCAGGCAGCCTGTGCTATTCAAATTTAAACCTCCTCAAATTAAAACTTACTACCCACTATGAACCTTTGAGGTCATGTAGGAAGAGTTAAAGGTACTGCTAATAAATCCCAGATTCTGACATGCCTGACTTTGGTGTGGGAGGTGGCAGTTAGGATGCCTGTGGCTGGAAATGCAGATAGCAGCGCACCCGGTTTAATCAAATATATATCATGAAGCCGGATGAGCAACCTTATTGAATTTATCATTAACTATATTTAAACACAATCTTAAATTTCCTCTTCATAAAATTTTGCCTTAGAAGAAAAGCAAAAAAAAAAAAAAAAAAAAAAGAGAAAGGTAAGTCTGCCAAAGGGTATTTCATGGGACACATGGCAGTTGAAACAAAAGGCCCAATTTTAATTGAATTATAGACTGCATAATTATTTAACCTATACCAGCTGGTCTCAAGAAGCTACCAGATTCCTTAGAGAGCTTGTACTTGGCCAGAAACATAAGGTACCTTATTAGTAACAAGAAAAATGCCTTCTGTACCTGTGTTACCCCCAACCCTCAAAGAACATAATGTGAAAGGAAAAAGATCCTTGAAGTTCATTTTTGATTTAAGAGGCAGTCCTCCCTCCCTCCGAGTATGTGAGTGGATTTGCTAAAGCACCTGTAGTCTCTGAGGAACGGCCAACATAAACAGGATGTTATTGCATCAGACAGGTAAGAATAATTTCTCTAATTAGTCACCTGAGATTTCATTTTTCACTTGCAAGTACTAGAAATTTAATTTGTGTGTGATGTGCAATTGGCAAACTGACAATAGCTACAACTGCCCCTCCCTCTGTCTTGCTGTCCTGGTACTGTGTGGAAGGCACTGGGTTGGGGGCGTTGGGGAGGCATCTCAATGTAGATGCTTTGCTTCATCTATCAGCATCAAGCTAACTAAAGCACCTTCCCATTGACAAATGTGACCTAATTACACATTCCTCACTTGTAATGCTTGAATGATCCTAATGAGTTTCCCGTGATCATTTTTCTTCCAGATTAAATGTTTTTTCTCAATCCCCCCAAATTTTGCAACAGTGAAGAAATTCATAATACATTCTCATTTACGTAAGAACATTGTTCTTAAAGGTACAGAGCAAAATAATTTTAGGAAGCTGTATTTTATGAATTACAGAATGATTGAAGACAGTCGCTGACTTGGCCTTTGATGAAGGAAGAAGTCATCCTGTTTGTTTTGTTTTAAAATACTGTTCTCTAAAGAAAGATTGATTGGCATCAAACGTAGTCCCCATAAATCATAGCTATTGATTTTACATTTGTTTTAGCTCTTCTGATTTTATGCTCCCTTATGTCATAATTTGTTATCCTGATAGCTGGCGCCTGAGTTGGTGCTGGGGCTGAGCCTGCAAGATGGTTTCTTTCAGTTCAGGCTAATCTATACATGAAACAGATGAGCTTTCATACACGGAACCATGCTCCTCTCACTTTTTATAATGTTACCCTGGCATTTCCCAAGGAGATTACAGATGCCACACAGTAAAATCTGTGACAAGTGGCAATATTAGGGACGTTTGCATAGTCTAATCAGCATGGGCACAGATATGGCTGCTGGCTGCCCTGGGTGCTGCAGGAAGCGGGGTGCTCCTCCCATTGGCTTTTCACACCAAGACTTGCTCTTAGGATTCAGAATGCAAATATTATGACCATCTTCTGGAAATTCTCAAGGTCAGGAAATTCTTCCATCTTCCACAAGTAGCAGAAGTGATGGGAGATAGAATGTCTGTTGGCTACACCCCACCTTTGTTAAAGAAGGGCTGGCCAGCCCTCTTTTTAATCTGCATCTACTTAGATGCTTATAGGTAGAACTTGGGATGCTGCCAGGTCACTAAGTGGCCCATTTAGGGCAAAATTAGATAGACTTTCTGGACATACATGTGTTACTCAAGTATCATTTCTTGTGTTTTGAGTTTCTGGCCAATTTGAGTGAATGTAATGCTCCCGTTTTAAACTGCTATTTTACACCCTTTCTCCTCTGGCTTTCCATTCAGTACTCAGTCACATCACTCAAGACCATCCCAGAACTGTGCCGGAGATGTGATTCGCAAAGCGAAGACAGATCAGGTAGGTTTACTCCTCATCTCTCCTCCTTGTCCTGCCTTTTTGGGTGTGGAGGACTCCTGGAAGCTGTTTCCCCCCACACTGCTCCTGCTTTCTGTTTTCTTTTTCTTTTACGGCTTCTCCACTCACCCCCAACCCTCAACAAACAGATGTTCGGTCATCTTTTGAAGGCTAACAGGACAGGGAGGCCCTACTGAGGACTCAGCTGTATACAAATAAATGTAGACGAGCATCTCAACAGTCCCAAACCACAGTATACGCAGCAATTTACTGAAAACCCGAGAAACCATTGGTGACAAAACATAATGATGCAGGCGCCAATGAAAAAATGTTGGATGCGTTTACTACCCATATGGCAAGGACCAGCTTGGGTGATGGTGCTTTGCCAAAGTCTGAAACCCTATCAGGGATGCGACATGATAGAATCTGCAATAAGGCATACTGTAACAGTTAAGATTAAAGCAAAGCTTTGGAGTTTAATAGTGTAAACTAAACAGAGAATTATGGCATATAGATGAAAACCAGCTGGTTGACCTTTTCTCCTTGCACACCCTCCCACCCCTGACAAAAAAGTACATTCAGGGTTGTTTTTCCCTCTGTAAATCAAATTAAGCCTCTCTCCTTTTCTCTCTGTGATGGGCAAAAATGAAAATAAAAAAGGATATTGATGGGAATGATACCATGGCATTAAACGATGAAATAATGTTTATTATTTTTCGAAGTAATTACTCTAAGGCATCACCATTAACCTTGCCAAAGCTGGACCTCCTCTGATAGTAACTAGAATCCTGAGAATCATGGGTGATGGAAGGCTTAAAATAATCCTTGAATTATGTGTATGATGTTTAAAAATAAATAGATGGTCCTTACCTATACAACTACTAGAATTCTAGGCCTTTCTGACTGAAAGGACTTGTGCAGAGTGAATTTACTTTTCTCCTGGACAGTTTGTTTTCCTTTGACATTTTGCTTAGATGAGACAAGGAAAATAATTAGTCTTTCCACATTTGTTTATCTCTGTATTTTTTGTGTGAGTGAAAGTAATGCTTCAATGTTTGGGTCAGAAACAGCAGAAGATAGTTTAAGTTCAAATAAAAGTTTTCATTTACCTTCAGGATTTTTAAAATTTTTTTAATTTCAAACGCATTCAAGTTTCTATCGGGTTTAACAGGGACCTTGGCCATAACGCTCATCAGGATGTGTCTCCTTAAAATGCATCACCAGATTCAGGGTTGAACCTCTGACTGTGATCAGTGACAGAGGCAGCAGACTGCAGTGGACAGGCCACCAGCCTCAGATCTGGGTTTGGGTTGTGAGCTAAGCACTGTTAGAATGTTTATATTATAGACGGGCAGACTGAGGCACAGAGCAGAGAAGTTAAATATTTTGCCAGAGTCACACAGCAGTTAAGTTGCAGAGCTGGGATTCAAATCCAGGACGTCTGACTCTAGAGTCTCGTCTCTTATCCATTACAGATACTACCTCTCAGATAGTTGGACTTAGTGACATTAATTTAATTTTAGGATATTATCCTTTTAAAACTTTAAAAATCAGCATTTTTCCTCACAATTAAGTGGTGAATTTCTTTTGTCTGTTAAATAGCTTTCCTTGCTTACCAGGTTAAGTGAATTAACTGAAGCTTTTAAAAATAATTTTTCCTGGGACTTGTTTATTCCATTTTCTCCAGATCTTGTGACTTCTAGCCACTTCCACAAAAGGTGTTATCAGGCATTTCTTCTCTGGTTGAGATGGAGGCCAGTTTCAAGTTCAGAAGCTTTTAAACTTTACCCAGAGCACAGACCCAGTGCTCGAGGTAATCAGCAATAATGAGACCTGACAGGAAATGGATGTATGAGGGAAAGACAAGGCCTCTTACTGGAATCACATATATACCTCCAGTTTGATGCACCATTTAGAGGCTGGTAAACCACTTTCTAATAGAGCGAGAGTGATCCTAGAAAAAGAGACACATGGAAAAATCCATCTCTCCACAGCATCACTATAGAATGACCTGTGGGCTTCTTTAAATGAAATTTCAGCATTGTAAAGTTTTCACAGCCATTTCTGAAGGAATTGTGGTATTCTCAATTTGCTCCATGGACATGTGGATGTAGAAATAACCCCTCCATCCATCCAGTCTTTCTTGTTTCAACCACTTAGGAAGAGTTTGCTCCAGGAGTGCTTGCAAATTTCCATCTTTGTGGTAATCTTTTCAAACAGATGGCAGCCGAAGGCGCATTGGCTTCTGAGAAGAGTCCACATCTTCTTTTGGGTGGGGCACCCTCTGGGGAAACTTTTCCCCAAACCTCCTGTCACTTAGAATATACTCCACCAGATAAAGACAGTTGTTTTTACCTTTCTAAAGTTCGTTAAGCATTTTCTAGTTTGTGCAGGTTGTCAAATGTGAGCGTCCATCCTTGTATTACCAAGTCTTTGACCAGATGTTCTTGAACCCATTTTTTATTTTATTTATGCATTCAGCAAGGAATTGTTGAGTGTTCTCTATCCCGGGCACTGAGGACACGTTAGTGAACAAGACGTAGTAGACAAGGCCCCCCTTCTTCCAGCACTTACATTCTAGGGGGTGACAGACAAAAGGCAAGCAAATGAATAAATAAACCAGATCATTTCAGATAGTGATGAGAGGTGACATGAGGCAATGTGATAGAGTAACTTCTACAAGTTGGGGAAGGAGATTTGGGGGCCAGAGAGTGTTAGAAAGACCCAACCACGTGAAAACCATTGAAGAGTGTTGAAGGCAGAGAAACTAGCAAGTGCAAAGCCCCTGAGCCAGGAATGAGCTAAGCATGTATGAGGAAGAAAAAGAAGCCCAATGGCGCTGCAGTGTGGTGATCAAAGTGAGGAGGAGGGCCGGGATATGGTTGGGGTCAGACTCGGCAGGGCCCTGTAGCGCAGGGTACACAGAGTTCAGACTTTATGCTAAGTGCTGTGAAGAGCACCGCCAGCAGGATTCCAATTTTGCTAAAATCCTATTCCCTGGAAAGGAGACTCAACATGTGGAATTATAACTCTCAGTAGAAGAAGGGACCCTAAAAATCATCAAATCTGAGAGAGAGAAAATGAGAAAACAGACAATAAAAGCAGATGGGTAAAATGAATGTGGATAAAGGGTATACTGGTGTTCTTTGTACTGTTTTTATTTTTTCAACTATTCTATGCATTTATTTACAAAAGAAAACATTTTTAATTATTTATAAATAAAAAGTTTTTTTTAAAAGACAAAAAAATCATGTAGTCCAAAGTGCATCAGATCTTTGAAGGTGATCCTTATCATCCTGGCTGTGGGCTCACCCAGCCTGAACTTCATCACCTCAGGGAGAGGGAGCTCACAGTCGCTTGAGGTCGCCCATCTGTAACGTTTAATTTCTTTGTTCAGCCAGGATCAGTGTCCCTCAAATTTCCATCCCTCAGTCCTAGTTCTTCCTTTGGAACCAACGAGAATGACACTCCCTCCTGGGAAGGGTGCCACTAAGTATTTGGAGGTGGCAGTCACCCTTGGTTTTGTCCTCTCCAGGTTAAAACTGCCCCCCAGAGTTGTGTGTCCTGCTCATTCTTCTTGCTCTCTTGTGGATGATTGAAGTTTACCAGCATCCCTCTTAAAAGTGGGGCAGCCAGAACTGAACCCGAGGTCACTCCACGTATGGTCTGGAGTCAGAATCTGTCTCCCCACACAGAACAGCCCCCAGGGCTTACCACGCCTTTCCTGTCTTCCCTAGTGGGCTATAAAGACAAGACTCATGCTTGTCCTTTCTGCCTGATTTTCAGGTGTTCTGAGAGGAGCAGGAGTGTCAAATGAGTTCTCTTGGTGACCCTTGGAAGCCTCTCTGTGAGACGTATAGCCAGGCCTCATCCGGCTTCACCCCTGGACCCTGGGCCAGCTCCACAGTGGGCTCTGAGAAAGGCAAATATCAGACACCTGGGGCAGTGTTCTTGCGCCTTCCACCAGCTCACTGATGCCCATGAGTCTGCCCTGGGAGTGCCCTTCCTTTAACCGAAGGCATCGATTCTTGTTGAAATCCGTATTTTCCCCTGACGGAGATAATATTTTAAACCGTTCACCATCAATTACACTACACTATGGCTACATTTTAAATTTTTGTGAGAAAAGTTTTGAAAAGAAGTGTGAAGGTATTGGAGATAACCACAAGAAGGTGGGGGGTGAAGAACTAGGAACTGGAAGCCTGAGAACAAACTTGGCGTGTGTGTGGAGCTGCACAGGTGTTATTGAGATTTCCGAGTTATCTCTTAGTGTACCAGGCGTTATGCCAGGTCTCCTGTAAACAGCTTATGTCTCCTCCAAGTAATTCTCCCAGGGAAGACCATTATTATGCCCATTTTATTGATGAGGAAACTGAGGCTCACAGACAGTAAATAATTTGCCCAAAGTTCTAGAGCTAGTAAGTGCATTTGAAACCAGGTCTGCTGACTCCGGAGCCCTTATGAGGAGCCATTATCTGAGTAAGAACTGAGAAGTAATTATCATCCAAGGAACCACATGTGGCTGGTAGTGTGGGTCAAGGACGTTATGTATGAAAATTTTTCACCTATAAAATAAAGTTATTTGTGAAACATTTGCATGTATTTTCTGCTTAATCCCTGCTACTCATGTAAGAAATGAGGATGGCACAAGGCAGTGAGTGTAACTCTGCTCCACAGTTTTCTGCAAATGAGGACTAAAATACGTTATGTTGACATATGGTATTCAAATCAAGCATATTCAATTTCATTGACTTCGAGCTTTTTTAATTAGTTGGACATTCAAATACACATTTGTTTCAATTCATGGTGCTTTAAATGTCTTGTGATTCTTTCAGAATGTGTATCTGCTAAGCTCATTGTATGATTTTCTTATGAAAGAAGGCAGATAAATATTAATGCAGCTTTGCATCTGAGAACTTAGATGCGCTGAGGTTGGAAAACTCAGTTATGTAACAGTAATAAATGGCCCTGGGATGCATAGGAAAAGAGATTTTGAAAGAATT